GCTGTTCTGTTGATAACTGGAAATTGACAAAGGATTTTGGGAATCTGCTTTGTCAGATAATGGTCAGGAGTTAATAGGAAACATCCCTGTACCCCTAGTAATAATCTATAGCCCTGTATTCCTAATAACAGGAAAAGTGCTCTAATACCCCTAGTATTTTTTCACTGTTGCAGGATTTTTGTTAATTTCTTCCTACTGGATGTCAAGATGTGTGCTTTTTTTTCTTTTTCTCTCCTTTTACTGGATAAAACCTGCAGTGCTCTCTGAGGCATAGCAAGGAAAGGTCGTGGGTGCTGATGCAAGGGTGGACTTGAAGAAGAGCATGTGCAGAGTTCTTGTTTAGAAATAGCATAGTAGAGAAAGAAAAAGAACATCACCTATAGTGTTTATTCAGGGACATTATAGGAGGATCTTGGAAAATGTAATTTTCAGGAATTTTATAGCTTGGAAAAGTTGCAAGGTATTGTGCCTAATTAAATATACCAGCAAGAGTCCTGAACCTGCATTTTTGCTGCACAATAACAGCAATTAAGTCAGACTGTTCAGGTCAGACTGTGGAAAACCAAGAGGTCATTGAGCCTGAAATTTGTATATCTCAAGAATAAAGTAAGAGACTTAAAAAACCTTTATCTCAGTTTTAAGCTGTAAATCAATATCTAATTGTAAAACAAGATCTATTTAACAATATCTGTTGAAGAAGTAGTAGGTGTTCCTGTGATGGCCTGTCACATTTCCTCATCTGCTAAGGTGAAGGTTACAGGTACAGTGTGTCATGCTGGTGTTCAGAGAAGTGGAAGCTACTGTGGGAAGCTTTCTAAGAAGTAAAATTGCATCTATAAAGAAGAGTCTGTTAAATTATTTTCCACATGCTGCTGACAGAGGGGAAAAAGGCACTTAGGGATGTGAAAGTGATGGGGGAAAGGAACAGAAGATAGAATCCAAGAGGACAGTGTCCTGTGTACGACCCTGGTTCTCAACAAATTAACTCATATTTTTTCCATGTTGAGGATGATCCATCTGTTTTCTTTTTATTAGATCATGGAGAATTACTTACATCTCTCAGTTTTCAAGATTTATATTTTCCCTTGTACACAGGAAATCTCAGAAAATTCCTAATAGGAATATGTTGCTGGCAGTTGATGATCTGGCTTGTTAGTCTTTTAATCTGTGACAATTAAATTGGGAAAATGGGCATCCAAACTTTGCTCATATTTTGACATTTTTAGTGCTAAGCATTCCCTTTTATACTTGGAATTTTATGTAGTGATAGAGGATATACACTACTTGTTTTAATAAGATAAAATAGCTTTTCAAGTGTTTGTATCCCTTTAAGGACATTGAAAACAAGGCCTTGAATCAAGAGTGCTTTGGATTTTTTCTTAAACCAGGATTCTTTCAGACATATCAACAGAGGGAGTTAAGCAATCTCTAAAACGTTGTGGTTGTGCTTAATAAGATCAGAAGTAAGGAAGAGAAAAGCCAGACTGAATTGAGAGCAAGCAGGTATTAGATTTGGAAGGTGCAGCAGCCTTTGTGGTGATGGATGTGGATCCAATACTTGTTCACAACATTGTGCTGCTGTATGAGAGAAGAGGTGCCAGGTGCCTTGGGTGGCTTACTATAATGCTTCCTGTAAATGTTTTGGACTTTTGCAGACTCCTTGTATAAGGCATTCCAGCATAATTTTGAAATAATTGTTGAATCTGTCATACTGAATTATCTGTATTCATCTCTTAAATTCTAAATTAATAGTGATACTGCAGTAGGGAACAGCCTCTGCAGGATTTTTTTTTCCCCTGTGAAAGAAGCCTTATTTTCCCTTTACAGAAAAGCAGAGGTCCATTGATACCTATCAGATATGTTAGATAGTCCTCTTGTGATGGTTTTTGAATTACAATTCCTCCTTTTACATAGCTACAAATACAATAATCAAATGGAAAGTTGAGACTAAATTAAAACCATTCACCTTCCAGTGAGTCTTAAGTTTGGAGAATTGGTTCCTCAAACTTTGAGTAGCAAGGGGTTTTTCGGTTGCCAGAGATGGGCATGTTATTGTATGTGAAAAAACCTAGCACTTCCTGATTCTTCTGCTGCCTTTTGCTCACCTTGCCTTGATACTAGAAACCTTGGGGAAGCTATGAAAGTTTGACTACTCTACGACTGCTATCATGGAGTCTATTTTTAACTAATTTTTTCTACCTTGCTACTGCTTCTAGAACCATTTTGAGTAAAATTAGGCCTGTTCAGGCCTTCCACCTTCATGAACAGAATTAGAGATGTATTTTTGCATAGTCTTCTACAGTTGCTTTTTAAAATTATTATTTTATTTTTAATTTTGTAGTACTGTAAACTTTTCACCATTCCTAAGGATTTGTCTACAACCTTCCTGCAGGAGATGACTAATTCAGAAACTAGGTAATATATGCTAAGACATTTCAACCCAGATGGATGGTGAAGTGAAGGATAATAATGATTCAGGAAAACATCAGTGGATTGGGAGTGTTACTGTGTTTGAGTATGTTAATGTTTTCCAGGCTCTCTGCCACCTCTTGGTGACCTTGCTTTGATGCTTGAGGTCTGAAGTTGCACTTGCCACAGTAATTGATCGATTGCTAATAGCCAGAATGATTAGCGTCAGATTCATCTCTGTACGTTGGAGAAGGGGACTCAGCAAAGTGACTTGTAATGGTGTTGTATGTGATTGATAGGCTCTGTGGCATCCTTGGCAGTGTTTGTTCTTGCAGGTGCTGTCACCTCATTTGCCCTTTGCGTCAGTCAGCTATCTGCTACCAGATTCACTTCCAGTATCTCCCAGTTTGTGTTTTGTTTTTCCAGTTCTGAGTTTAGAGCATACATAGTAGACCAAGAATGTTTACTTTCTTTATTGAATGGCTATTCCAGTTATTCTAATACCATTCCAGTGTTGCCTGCTGTCTCTGTCCACAAAGCCTCATGTGCCTTAATGAGAGGTTATAGAATTAATCAACCCAGAGAAGTTCAGTACTTAATAGAATGTCTTCTTTATTTTCAGGCTATCTGTAAGATTCTATAAGAGACAATAAAATAAATATTCTTAAACAGAATGTGACAAACAATTTTCAAAGCTTGAAAGTATTTTTACTATACTTTGATGCAGAGTTCTTACTGTTAGCGAGATAATCTGATTGGGGTGATGCACCAAGAAAAAGGAAAGGAAAGGGAGTAAGTGAAGTGTTCCCATGGAGCACTGTGTTTCATTGAATAATTATGCAAACTTGGTCAAGATACAGTCCAACAGAAATATCTTTAGCTGTTCAAAAGTCAGCAATTTAGCAAAAATAATGGGATTCCTAAGGGTGTATAAAACCAGCCTTCTCATTTGTGGCTTTTTGAGTGTACATTTAAAAACGTTTTTCTTATAATAGATCAGATTATGAGTCACTCATCTATTCTATAAAAAGAGAGAGAACACAAGCAGAAGGAAATGGGACATGCATTTTTAAAGGCTCCTTCTTCCTTCCCTTTTGTTTATATGTCAGCTGAATTTTCATGTAATAACAATTCCTGTAGTTGTGGTCTTAAAACAGACACTAAATATTGCAAAAGTTGTGATCAACTGTGGCAGCTGAGTTTTGTATTTAGATTCCAAAATAGTATGCATTTAAAAATCTATATAATTTTAAAATTTCATGTGGTACATAGCGAATTGAGAAGTAGAAGAACCAGCTGAATCTGTTGACAGAGTTCAGAATGGTGTACTTCTCATTCATAGTTTCATGGGAGATGCACTTCAGTTTCAGATTTGACTTGCTCATTGGTGTGCTTCGAATGCTAGACTGTTTAGTGTATTGTTTTGGCGCACGTACTGACACTGGAGCATGCCAGCAGTTCTGGCGTGAGGCTGCTAGGGAAAGGACTTCTTGTAGCTTGGTCATTTCAAAGCTTCAGTGTTTAAACTGTCATTAATTACACTTTTGCTATGAAACGGGTTATCTAGATAGAGTAGTGTTTGAGTTCTTATCTTACTAGAACGCATTGAATATAAATACCTAATTTTGATGTAAATGTTCAGTGTTGTACTCTTGCTTCTGTATTGTAAAGTCAGCAATTTTATAAGTGTCAATGACCTTTTAAGAAAAAGAACTCTGCCAGGATGCAGATTCTACCAGCAAGCAGGGATTACTTTTTTTTTTGCGAACTTTGTGCAAAAGCACATCTTCTCCAGTTAACCTTTAGTGTTTCAACTTCTAAGAAAATGTACTTCATTTTTAAAAATGGTATTATTTAGATATACAGTGGTGTAGATGCTTTGTCATGACTGTTAAAAAGATCTTCAACTTTAATCCCACTTTGACTGTTTTATCTGGGAAAAAAAATGTGAGCTGGGGAAACATTAAATCTCTCAAGCGGCCTTTGAAATATTTGTTGCCATTTTGAAACGAAACACTTCTATAAAGTGATTTGTATGGTCACTTGTGTAACTTGCATAGTTAGTACTAATAGTGAAAAGTTTTCAGGAAGAATATGAAAATATTCTTCATTGCCGTGTCTTGGGAGGAGTAGGAGTCAGTTATGTGCTTTTTGCAGGAAAAAAAAAAAAAAGAAAAAGAAAAAATTCATTATATCTTCTATAAATTGACAGCACATAGACTTCAGAATTGTTTCGAAATCATAACTTTTATAAGGAAAAGTGCTTGAATGATTTTGCATAACCTGTTTCCTGTAATTACGAACAAAGTTTTTTGGAGGATGAGGGGTAGTGGTATACATTATGGACTAATTTTTAAAGAACTTTGATTCTTGTTTCCTATTTGTGATTTTTTAAAAATGCCATTATCTGTTCAGTGATAAATTATTACTCCAAATTTATATGGCAGCCCAGTAGTTGAAGTAATTTGGTATCTCATTACAATTTTGTAGACTAAGCATGTTCTGGTAGAAACTTAAGATTTAATTATTTTTTAGATGGAAAAATAAATCTTACATGTATTCTCATTAACATTTAAAAAATATTGTTCCAGCTGCGTTGGGGTAGAGGAGCACCATGCTGTTGACATTGATCTGTACCATTGTCCCAACTGTGCAATTCTCCATGGACCTTCTCTGAGTAAGTATGGGTTATTCAAATTTTATTTACAATTTCAATATGTTTTCTCTCCATGTACAATTGGAAAAGACTGTTCATAAGAACACTAAAGATTAGTTTGATTATTTAGAAGGTACTGGTTCTACATGACTGACTCTGAACTGATAAAAAAAAAACCACAAAACAAACCAAACCATCCTGAGAGATTCCTTGATCTGGAGATGCAGATAGAATAAAATATAAACCACCACTATAGATTAGAGAAATCAAAGTGCTCAGAGTTAGAAGAAAACAATCTGGACTTGACAGAGAGTGAGAGAATGAAAATTAGGGAATCATTGTCTGAAAAAAAAAATCTAGAAGATGGCTTAAAGTTCCTTTGTTTTAATCATCAAAATTCTAATACCAAGGAAGGCAATGTTGAAAAAATGTAGGTGTTAGCTGTCTTACCTTTTTGGATGATTGTAGGCTATATGCCACAACAGTCCAGTGAAATCTGACAATATGAATTTCCTGTGCTGGTTTTCTTTTTTTTTGTGGTTTTTGTTTGTTTGTTTTTTTGTGTTTACGTCCTTGAGAGTTACATAGCTCCAAATTTCAGGTGTCTGATTTATGATCAAGTTTCCACCAAGTTTCTCATGCGATTTCATGAGTTGCCATAAGGGATTGTGAAACAGAGCAGCAAGAGAGACCTCCTCTTTGGTTTTCCTTTCAGTAGATAAATTTGCTGTGGAGATCTGCTGTGGAAAGATGGAACAGTTTTTGTCTTTGTGTAACTATTGGAAGGACACTGCTTTATCCAGCCGTCTAGATTTTTTCCTCATGACTTCTGTTCTTTAAAGGAAACAATGTAAAAATGGATTTCACCTTTACAACAAGGAATTAAGTTGCTATGTTCAGACCTGAAAATGTGTATATGCACTGTGTCTCTTTAACCTCCAAGCACTGAGTCATGGTAATTTTTTTTTCTAATGTGGTTTTTTTTTTTAAATTTTTTTTAAATTTTTTTTATTTGAAGACCACATAATGATTTATAGTCAGCAGTGACTTAAAACCTGGAATCTTTTCAATGCTGAATTTACTTTGTCATTTAGAAATAAGCATAAAACCGCTGCACCCTCACTGGTAGTCTTGTGGAGTATGAACAAAGTGATAAAGTATCGCTTACTGATGTAATTAATATATGTTGCATGATATGTATCTTGTATACTATGTGAGTTCAGGGTTACCTACTTTTAGGTTGGGGACTAAAAAGTAAGATAAATGCTGTTTTACATGCTTGTAGTTTTTAGTATTCCAGTTGTCATTTTCAGTTAAAAATCTGCATTTCTCCCCTGTAAATCAGAATACAAATAACAGCCGTTTCTTTCCCCACCTTTCTGACTGTTCTTTTCTGTGGAATAGAGGGACCAGGAGGAGGAGTAGAAGGGGGGGGTCATATCAGGCTTTCAAAATAATGGATGAGTAAATATGAAACTTAGTTTTTTTTTCTTGATTTGGGAGAACTAGTATGCTTCACCGTGATGCCTGTGAATAACCTTTTTTTGTAATGCAGAGGCTGCAAGTGCTAATGCCAGCTCTGTCTCACCTGCAGCAATTTGACAGTGAGATAAGAGGGATTTTTGTGTTGGAAGTCTTTTCAAAAAGACAAGAATCTATGGTAAAAATTATCCTCATTACTTCATATTGCCATAAGTAAGTAGATAATCTAGATTTGGTAGAAGCTTCAGACATGTCACTTATCAACCCAAGCAGAGGTGATATGTTGAAATGTCTTCACCTGGAATTTTGTTAATTGTTCTCAGCTCAGCTGTCAGATTCAAATATATGATAGTTTGTGGTTTGGGCTCTGCTTACTTTAGTGTTTAGACAGACTGATAGTGTCTCATGACTTCAAGTGTTGCAGCAGTGCTCCAAAGTGCTTCAATCATATTAAAGTATATATGTAAGTAAAAAAAGCATCTTTATTTACAGCTTGGTATTCTAAAATTCCTTTATCTAAAGGAGATTTGAAAGAGGCAAAAATTAATCTGTTTGATTTAAGAGGGCAAGTTACCTGTGATTCCAGCAGGCACTTGTGTGTATAGTCTCATCTAATCGAATGACATAGTGCAAAGAATTTACTAGCGATATAAAAGAAACACATACTTCATGCTACCAAATTGGTGGTTACTTTCAGTATCCTACAAAATTAATTATCTAAAAGTTCAGATTATGAATATGAAGCTTCTGCATCAATTTCTTCTATTTCAAAGAAAAATAAACCCTTTTGTTGATTTGGAAGAGCAACAATTTTACAAGATCTTTAGTAAGCAGCCATGTGTGTAAAATGCTAAATAATTAATCCTAAAATCCTAAATAATTAAAAAAGTGATATTAAAAAATAGTAGTACACTATGGAGTTTTCTTAGCTTATTTGGTTTAGAGTCTTTGTATTATGTGTTGTTACTTTAAAAGTTTTCTCAGTGATCCTTAAGTCTGAAAGTGCTCTATTTGCATGAATGCTGGGAGTCAGGTCTGCCACCAGCCTCTAGAATCCGGAACTTTAAAGAACACGAGGTACAGTAAATGTTAACAGGACTGTGCTTGTCAGGACATGACTTTCTTAATCTGGTTTTACCTCCTCAAATTCTGTAAATACCCTCCCACCTGGTTTTTTTTTTGACTGTGGTGGTAATGCCCTTGTTTGATCTGAGCTGACAATATGAGACGATGTACCAGGCCCTAGAAGTGGTGTTCTATGATGTGCTGTATGCTCCTCAGAATTTGCTGTTCTTTCTATGCTAACATTTCTCTTGCCTTTTTGGTCACTGGGAATCACCTAAAGGACTACTTAGAAGACTTGGGGCTTCATTTTACATATATGTATGTGTCTTGATGGTCGGTCCCTGTTTGAAGTCTAGCATGTGACCTCAGAGACAAACAGACCAACAGTGTGAGAAGGCAAGGAGTAGTGTTTGCCTAAAGTAGGTACAGGTAGTGGCCCGCTGTTTTGAGTGTATAAGGAATGCAAGTTAAAAGTAGCTTTTTGCTTACTTCTAATGAAAACTTCCAGCACTCTCCTTTCCTTTCTCAACCCCCCTGCAGCTGTCTAATGTACTTTTAGTGTGTATATTTTTAGTGTGGTCACAGTGCCTCAGTTCTCAGGAACAGCAAGGGTAAACACTAGTTCCTTCTACTAGTTTGGAGTGATTGGGAGGGGATGGGTATATGCATTTCAATTTACATAGTTGTTTGTGGTTTTTGTTTTAATTTGAGCATGAGGATCCGTTCAGTTACATTATTTTTCTTGCAGCTGTTATTGTAATATATTATGGGATTATAAAAGCTCTAGAATTAAGAGATACATAAGAAGGAAAAAGTTGTCATTACTGTTTTTTGTTCTTCAGTGTTCTCTTACTCATGGAAGGATGGTGTACATTGCCAAGTAAAGCAAAAGAACGACTTTTAATTTCTAGTTTTTAAGTGTTGGAAAGGCAGATTTTTAAAAGTTGGTTTTGTGCTGTAAAATCTCTTGAGCAGCTGTATCATCTTACAGTTTTACTGAGTTGTTGTAACAACTGTGAATTTATGAGAAACTACTCTATTGCAAATTAGTATTAGACACTAATTTCTTGTATTATTATTTATGACCGAGAAAATAACTTTGAAAACTTAATAAAGCTGGCTTCATTATTTATGAAGTTTTACTGTATTTGGATAGTTGGCTCATTGATCAGACTCTTCAACACTGGTTTTCAGGTTAGCAAGTAGCTATAAATGTCGGTTTATTCTCTTAAATGTCTTCTAAAGGCTACATTTTGTCACTTCTGTAGGAAACAGCTTCTCAATAGGAATAATTACCTCTTATGTGTAATGACTATAAGAAAGATGTCAGTTGTTTCTATATAACCAACTGTTTTTTTCTGGAGAAGTAGCATTTTTTTTTTTTTGCTTTTTAGAAGCTGCTTTTTTTTGTCCTCTTAGATCCTCAGCTTCCTGCTACTGTTAGCTGTGTTTTCAGTATTGCTAGCACTTTTTTTAGATTTTGGGTGCATCATGACTTTGGTAAACTTAAGGATGAGCTCCTCCATAAAGTTCGATTTTGTATTAATACAGTTGTTTAGCTGGGTGTCGTATTTATATTGCAGGCTGTTTTTGTATATGCCTCTAGAACACCATTTGTGTTGACAAGTAACAGTAGGTTTTCCCTCTTCTATGTTTCCTCGGCAGATGTAACTAAATTTCTGCTTAGTATTAGTTAAATTATAGTTCTGGTCTCAGTAAATCTTCTTGGGGCAGTCTTCCAGTAGCAACTATTAATGCTGTGGAGCAGCGTTTGGCTTTTTTAGGAAAAACTGAAACGTAACCTAAAAATTACTATGCCCTTAGTATGTTTCTTAGTGTGGTAAATTGTATGTTGTTAAGTCAATAGAAAGGTAGCAAGTTCAACACTGTTGGAATTTCTTTCCCAGACAATGAGATGGCAGTCATTTTTGCTGAGGCACCTGTTGGGAATTTAAAGGGCTTCTCAGCCTGTTAAGTGTTTGAGGACAAGAGATACACATTTATTTGTATAGCCGGAAAGTGTTCCAAAGCGCATTGTGCTAGCAAACAGATAGATGATACAACCAAGGGCTTCCTTTCAAAGCAGAAGACTTGTGTTCTGTAGAAGTGAAGATATGAAATGAGTGGTTGATTAAGGTGAATTAATGAAATATCTGTTACAAAGTAATTTCTCATGAAATAACGCAAATTTGAGGACAGGCAGGAAGTTTGCCATGATATTGTAAGTCACTTTGTCCTCTGTTTCACTGAAGGCCAAAAAAGTAAAATGGGGAGGCTGCATACAACTTACAGTGTTCTAAAATACAGCCTTTCATAAAAAAGAAGACCACTTTTTATCAAGGCCTGTGGTGACAGAAAAAGAGATAATAGTTTTAAACTGAAAGAGGGTAGGTTTAGATGGGATATAAGGAATAAAGTTTTTACTGTGAGGGTGGTGAGGCACTGGAACAGGTTGCCCAGAGAAGTTGTGGATGCCCCCTCCCTGTGGAGGTGTTCTGAGATCAGGTTTGTTGAGGCTTTGAGCAACCTGGTCTAATGAAAGGTGTCCCTGCCCATGGCGGGGGTGAGGTGGGTTGAACTAGGTGATCTTTAAAGGCCCCTTCCAACCCAAACCATTCTGTGAGTCTATGAAAATGGTGTTTTTGCGCATGTGTCATTTGTCATGGCGAGACCAACAGGTCTTTATGAGAAGGTCTTGTTTTTAATTTTCCTTGGCCCTTTAAGTATAGGGAACTGTTCAAGATGCAATTTAGTTGCTATTGAACTATCAGATTCCCAAAATTATAATAGAACATTAATTTATCCTTTGTTCTTTATTAATATGTTTGTAATAGCACACTACAGTTTCAAACAACTCAGAAGTTGATTGTTTTGGGGTGAAATTCTTTCATCATATGTATTATGCTTGCATAATAAAGATTACATCTTCCCAAAACAATTTACACCCAAAACTGTTATGAAGACGTAAGCAGTGGATAAAAGAGAGATGGTTTCGTTTCGAACAGCATATGGTAGTGAGTAGTAGTAATATTATCAGACTGGATATGGGTGTGCTCATAGGGTGAGATAGCACAACAGGATTAGGCCCTGTTAATTTTGTGTTAATACGTAAGATTAGGTCTATGGATCTTGAAGAGGTACAATTCTTCTGTTTATTTAAAAAAAAAAAAGTCTGAGCTTTAGGAATTTGGAAGTTCTATTTCTAGTTTTGTTGCTGACTTCTTAGATTTGGACAACTTTCAGGCTGCTGTGGTTTACTTGTGCTGCACTGGATATGGAGTCTTAAATCATTGTGTGTCATGTGCATTGAGGTTCTCACATAGAAGGAGCTATGGAAGTATAGAGGATTACTGTCAGGTGTCCTGAAGATTTCGTTTGTTGCAGATAGGTAGAGTGTCACCTGCATGAACAGTAATATTTGTTAATCATAGTAATGTAATTGAGGCATGTCTGGGATGACTGCTAATCTGAGCCATCTGATTTAACTAATTCAAAGTTTAATCCTTCTGAAACTTCTAGTGAAGAAGAGGAGAAACTGGCACAGACATGATTACACAGAGTTGGATGATGGTTCCAAGCCAGTGCAGGCTGGAACACGGACCTTTGTTAAACAGCTGCGGGCTCGCTCTTTCCCAAGGTACAGAAGCTTACTTACACACTTTAGTGCAAAAAATAGAGAAACTTTGTCAGCTGAATGTGTCTTGGGTGAGGCAACTGATGTTTCTCTGCTTCAGAGAATGAAGGTTGAGGATGACTTCCTCCCTTAGAATGACTTCCTCCCTTAGAATGCCCCCCATCCCGTCCCTGTTTCAGGTGGAATCATTTACCTTCTCATGCAGTAGCTTCCCCTGTTCAGTTTTGCACTGGGGTACATTGTCTGTTGGGACTGCTACAGGGTTGTGTGGGGGTTTTGAGTTTTTGGGGTTTTGTTTGTTTTTGTGGGGGAATAGGAGCAGTAGCAAGAATGGTTGTGTTTTGTTTTTATTTTTTTTTTGTGCCTGAACTGTCAGAATATTGTCTGTATATTCCTGTAGTCCAGGAATAGTCCTCAATTTAATTCCAAGTAACATAAACATTTATATCAGCTGGTAGTCAATCCATTCCCACATGCTTTAGAGGAGATTGGAGAAACATGGTTGTACTTCGATCCTGAGCCATCTGTAGTTGGCCATCTCACTGAAACATAATGACTTACAGTTCTTTAACGGACTTTGTTATTGGTTTTGTCAAAATGTACCTTAATGCCTTCTCTGAGAATTCCTTTTCCCCATCCTCTTAAATTACTGTGTTTGGTCATGTAGAAAGATTATCAGTTCCCAGGTTTTGCACGACAGTAAACATTTCGTTGCGGGTTTAGGTAATTTTCTTTGTCTTTCAGTTAAATACGGGGCCCACTTCTTTTGGATTCAAATGTAGCCATTCCCATTTGTCTTCCCCCAAACTGTGTCTTAGTGTTTTTTCAGTAGTGCTTGGTGGATGCTTTTTTGCTAATATTCCATTATTTCTTTCCACCAGTGCCGATGAAGTAATTTTGAAAATGCATGGAAGCCACTTGACACAAAGATACTTGGAGAAACATGGGTTTGATGTTCCCATTATGGTTCCTAAATTAGATGGTCTGGGGCTCAGACTTCCTCCGCCAACTTTCTCTGTTTTAGATGTGGAACGCTATGTAGGTAAGAGTCACTCTGGAGTACTTACAAATGGTCCTGTCCGTAAATTAAAATAAGTATTTGCATTACTATAAGAGCTTACAGAGTGCTAAATATATTCTAAATTGAATTACTTCTAATAAGAAGGCTAGCAGAGAGTAAAATTCAAGCTACAGTTTTGGTTTCTTTCTTTCTTTCTTTCTTTCTTTCTTTCTCTCTTTCTCTCTTTCTATTTCTTCCTTTGTGTGTGGTAGATATGTGACAGGAGTACAGCCTTACTTTTCAACTTTCAAACGTTAATTTTGGTGCAAGCTACACATGGAATGCTGGGTTTTTTTCTGCTACATGTTGAAACCAATAAAGTATTACGATTTTAAGATTATTCTCTTTGTGAGAATTGAACGAATCACTGTAACGATCAATGAAGTTTCGTCATGGGTTAGGCTATTGCAAAAGTTAATGGTTTTGGCTCAGTAAATTGAATTAAATATTTCGTCCTGGAAAATTTCCTACCTTGGCTTCCTTTGGTGGGACAGCTACAGCTTTCCAGGGACCATTTCTTTCATATCAGACCTCTTGAAGGTCTGTAATTGTTTTAGCCTCACATAAGGGTGGAGCACAGAGAAACAGAGGCTGAACCAATTGCAGCATGCCATTTCCTGTGACATACAGTAAAGCTGAGAAATCTGTATGTGGCCTTGTCTGTGTTCTTGTGATAACCTAATATAATGACATGTACTGAAAGTAGGTTTTCTGTCCATAAACATTTTATGATGGCACAGAATAGAGGAAATATGTAGTATATGGAATGTTGTTACCATTATGATGATTATAAACAGTAAACTATTCTGCTTTAAAGTGTAATTATAATTTTGATACTTCTGAATCTTTTATTTTGGAATACTGTCCCTTCAAGATTCAGAGAGAAACTTGGTCTTCTCATTCTCATACATATATTTTGACCTGCCAGCTTCTCCAATTTAGAGAAAAAATTGGCATGCTACAGATTTACCTTTCTACTGTTGAAAATGAAAATAAGAAAACTGGATAAATACTGTTCAAACAGGCATTTATCAAGATGACACTAACTGGCAATTTTAAAGCAATTATGTTTATCATGTTCATCTAGATACATTCCAGCATTCCAAAATTAATTGTCAAATTTGACCATTGTATAACTACACTGACATAAAACAGGTGCTATTATGTATTACAGTGTTATTGTTGGTCCTTTCTCTTGGCTAAAGGTTGCATCTTGCTTGTCTGGTACTACAGATGTATCACTTTGAAATACACATTATGTGAACCAATCCTTGTTGTCTTCAGAAATGAAATACACTCACGACTTAATTATTCAATGAAATTACTGTGTGCTTAAAAGTTATGCATATAGATAAGGAGGGTGGAGGTGGGCTTGTAGAATGTTTGTGAAGAACTACCTGCATAGTTTTTAATGCTAAAAACTTACCGGTTATGGCACAAGTTAGTGCAGTTTGCTAAGAAATACAAGCTGTGAGCAGTAGGATTTATTATTTGTAAAGAATTCTCAGTGGTCTTTGTGTTAAATATTCAAGTGCTGTGGTGGTAATTAATAGGAAGAGTGAGGAATAGATCTGCCTTGGGAACTTTCTCTACATTAGTCTTTCAGGTTGCAACCACAAAGCTCAATTTTTTTTCTTTTAAACCAGTTGCAGTCATTCTATACTACTGCCTTTTTTTTTTTTTTTTTTTTTTTTTTCTTGTTAACCGTAGGAAAGAGGATTTATTTTTAGTTGGTTAACCGTAGGAAAGAGGATTTATTTTTAGAGTGTTTTCAGTTCCATCCTTAGCTGATTATATCAATTAAAGTTAGACCTAATAAAAAGTTGGTTTATACTAATCTGTCTCTGTTTCGAGAGAAAGCTGGTGGTAGTAGAGGTTTTGTGCAGAAATATATTGATAAGGTTGGAGAAAAGCCAAATTTCTCTTAAACACCTTAAGGCTCTTTTTATCTGCAATAGGATTAAGAAAGTCATCCTCTTTTTCACAGGTGGAGATAAAGTGATAGATGTAATAGATGTAGCAAGACAAGCAGACAGCAAAATGAAGCTCCATAATTATATTAAATATTTCACAAATCCTGATCGACCAAAAGTATTGAATGTGATCAGCCTGGAATTCTCAGACACAAAGTGAGTACTGGTTTCAATTCCTTGAATGCAGGAAGTGGGTTTTCACTAGGTTGAACAGTATGTGTAGGAATATAATGTCTGTAGTAGGAAAGATAGGAGGCTGTGTATTTAGTGTAGACAGTAATACAGGTATAAAGCATTTTTATTAATTCATAAGTAATAACTTTGTAGGAAACAAAAATTCAAAGTTATAATTTAAAAAGAGGTGTGCTTACTCTTGGTTATATTTAACGTTCTTTTTTGTTTGTTTGTTTTAAAAGGATGTCTGAATTGGTGGAAGTACCAGATATTGCCAGAAAGCTTTCATGGGTGGAAAATTATTGGCCAGATGACTCTGTCTTCCCTAAGCCTTTTGTTCAGAAGTATTGCTTGATGGGTGTCCAGGACAGCTACACTGATTTTCATATTGATTTTGGAGGAACATCAGTTTGGTACCATGTTCTCTGGGTATGAAGGCTTCTTAAATTTTGACTCTGTGAAACAAACTTTATTCAGTGTGCAGCTTTCTGCCATGGCACTTATCACCTGTTTAGAATTATCACCTGTATGAAATTTTGTACTTAAAAAGCCAGGGGAGGAGCTTGAAAGTGAACTACTGATAGTTGGTATTGCGTTTTTATGCTTTTATTTTCATATACTGTTGGTGACTTCTAGACTGTAGTTGGTTGACTGATCATTTTAGTAGACTAGTAGGTAATACAGTGAGGTTTTAGAATGAAAAAATGAATTGAATGAAAATTATTGACATACTCAGCTTTTTATTCTTCTCACAAACTTTGACCATGTATACATCATAGGCTAGACAAAGTGGTTTCATCTTATGTTTTCTCATTTGGCGTTTGTGCACATATCTATATACATTGTTTATAAAAGTGGGAATTTTTTATACTCCAATGAGAGGTTATGGTTGGTTTGTTTGCTTCTTTTACATTACAAAACACCAACTGGTTAGTGTACTATTGACTAAGCTTTTGGTAGATTACAGTTGTGAAACTGGGGCTAGGAAGCCCCTATGTTCCATAGTGGAAATCTGGAATACTTACAGTTTAGATCAATTTGTTACTTTATTAGGAATGGCTTAGAGGTTGTAGTATGCCTTCAGGAGGACATTGATTTTTTTAATTTGATATTTTTGTTTAATAGGGTGAGAAGATATTCTATTTGATCAAGCCCACTGATGAAAATTTGTCTCTGTATGAGTCTTGGAGTTCATCTGTCACCCAGAGTGAAGTATATTTTGGGGACAAGGTTGACAAATGTTACAAATGTGTTGTGAAGCAAGGACACACTTTATTTGTTCCAACAGGTAAGATTTACTCTTTATTACTAGGACTCAGCATGTTTAATCACCAGGAATTAAGGGTATCCTAAAGTGATTGCTCTGTCAACATTCGGTTTCTCTTAAATTTTTGGATAAGAGAGAATAATAAAAAATACAGAAATTTATATTTTCATAACAAGAAATGAGCTTTTTAGGTTGCTTGACAGTAATAACAGTTATCAGGGAAAGAAAGGATGTTTGTTACCCAATTGTAAGACAACAAATTAAAGCTGAATGTGGATATCAGGGAAATAGTTCCAATTCATAGGACATGGAGTGTTCACCATTTGATAGATATCCGAACTGAGTTCTTATGTCAATTATAAGACAATTTTGGTTTTACAGCTTTTGACTATTTTAAGACCTACTAGGCAAAATTATTACAAAAACAGCACATAAATTTCTTATGCTATAGGAAAAGTTGTGTGGTTTTGGGGGGGCTGTAGGTTTTTTTTCTTTTTTTTTGTTTTCTGAAAAACAGCAGGAAATCTAAACTGTAGTGGAGCTTGTGGAGGCTCTCTGAATCAAAATGAAAGTGTCTGTAAATACAATTGTAGAATATATAATTGAATTAATGTGTTAATTCCTTTTATTAAAGATAAAAGGATATTTGTAGATATAGTTTATGCAACTGTAGAGCTCATAAATGCATTTCAGCAGCTTCCTTTAAAAATTATGCAAAGGAGCAGTCTTTTCTGGTTTTCTTTAACGTTTCTTGTAGCCATCACCCAATAGCATCTGATAAATTACAGGACGTTTTTAAGAAGTGAGAAACAGCAAGACAATTAAACTTTGTTATGTATTAAAAAAAAAACACAGAAAATTCTTCCAAACAAAACACACCACCCTCATTCCCCCCAAGCTCCCAAACGCCATAAACTTAGAAGTCTTTAATAAATCAAACCATATTTTGCCAATAAAGTGCGTGCCAGTTAATTTCTTGTGTTTTCACTTATCCAGCCCATATAAATACTTTTCATAATTTTATTATTGAAGATTTGTACTAGGTACTATCTTCCCTTTTTGGGGGGGAGGAAGCTTTAAATATACTGAGAAGGGAAATGGTATATGATTCTTCTTCTGGAATAAGCCCTGAAGATTATGTTCAGTACCTTATTCTGTTATGGACTTCTTAGACAGCCTACTACATTTTTCTCATAGCTCACTTCTCTACCTGTGAGGTTTAATGTCTACTCTTCTAGTTCATGGCTTGCGCAGAATAAATACTACATGGTAGGGAGCTATGTATGCACTTTACAGTCCTGAAGACCCATAACTTTTTAAAACCATCTATTTTTGGCAAGAGATTACATTAATTTTCCATTTATCGAAGTGTAAGGTCATACATCTGTGAACAAACAATGCAGAATTACACAATGAAGAACTTTATTGTGACCCACAGATCTTTGAAAATAGTTACTGCTTCCTAAGGAATCAGCTGAACCTGAGCTCTCACTATAATGTGGCCAAAAAGAAAAGTATCATAAAATTATAATTTCTAATGTATATGTGTAGTTTTGTGTGTATAGACATAAAATGGTACTTTTTAATGTAAATGTGTGTATATATGTATGTATGTGTACACACACCTACATATTTATATACGTACGATGGAGTATGGTGTAAGAACCAACTAGGCTTCAGGACAGTTGTTTAAAAAATTGGAAATTCTGTAAGACTGATTAAAGGCTTTAAAAAAACTCTTTTGCTCTTCCTACTTGCACTGATGCTAGTGGATATCATAATTATTTTATAATTGCTGAAATATGTTGAGAGTAGACTTCTGATTTAAAATGGATTTTGTGTATAGAGGAGTGGCACCTACGGGGAGACTCTTGAGAGTTATTTGAATATTATTCAAGATAGTCTGTGTGGTCTGCACCAGATTTTCTGCACCTTGAACAAAACTACAGCATAAAAATAGCAAGCAAGGATGTAAGAAAGTGAAATTCTTTAGTAGATACAGGTATGCCATAGAAATCCTTGGTGTTGATGCAATAGTGATGAGGCTTTGTTGTCAGTTTTGTCAGTGTCTGGGGAGGTATGTCTTTAAAGGGTTGAAATATATATACTCCTTGGAGAGTCAGAGGTATTAATCTACTGTGATGGTGATAAAAATAAAAAATTGAAACCATATTAACAAATGCAAAATGTAACTGGTAATACAAGCTAATCTTCTTTGCACTGCACATCTCAAAGAACAGAAGTAAAACTGCACAATGTATAATATTAATTTAAAAAAACTCCTTAGGTTGCATGTGCCATTGTATTCTACAGTCTCTCATATACCATTCTGTAACTTCCTTTCCAGGCTGCAGAGTAGGCACGTTGCTTGGTCAACGTAGTTGATAGCTTACAGGTCTTTTTACGTGTGGTACCACGACAACTAGAACTGGTTGTTCTTAACTGAATTAGGGCATGGATTTAATGGTAGTGGGCAACATGCAGTTGCTTGTGATTTGGTCTGATCTTGCCCCAAGATGAGGAGATTCCTGTGTCTGTACATCTTGGCTACACTCAGTCAAATAATGAATTAATCTGCAAATGCATTGCCAACTCCGCTTTTGTCAAAAGATCACCTGTATGCGTGCAAAATCAGAAAAAAATCTGGAAACAAGAAACTGTATTTGTAGCTTATTTACATTAAAGCTGCACTGTATAAATTTTAAAGGTAACTATTTTTTGTTGGGAAGCTAACTTCATATATTCTTTTGTGTACTTACTTGAGATTATCCAATAGTAATCAGCTAGATTGATAGTATAATGTTGGCCATGCTTTACTGTGTTTAATAGTGGAGTTCCCAAGGACAATATTTCAATTATGTGAAAAACTTATATAGTCATGGTGCCTAGACTGTGTTTTAAACTGATCATAATTTATTTGGAATTAGGATGACTGTATTTAGAGTAATTAATGGAACTACTTCTGAATTCCTGTTTGAGAAACTTCGGTATTGCTAAATGACTTTATGTTGTGCAAACAGCTCAGTTACTGTAAGGAACCTGTAAATATTGAAAGGAATATAATTCAGTATGTTTTTCCACTACTCGCTTATTTTTCTTGATTGGACGGAAAACTTTGGGGAATTTTTACTTGAAAAATCGCTTGTGGTCTTGCATTCCCCCCTTGCCTCCACTGTAAAAAAAGTCTTAATGCACTTTTAACTCCTTCAGAAAAATACAGTTCCACTAGATTTCTGGTACACTGTAATTTACATGTTTTTTAAATTTAGATTACTTGCTTCTAGCACAGAATACAAATTTGTTTGCTTTTTTAGTTTACAGGTACAGCATTTTTACTTTATATGTATTTAAAAACAGTCTTAGAAGAATTTGTATGTGTGTATTAAGTTTCAGAATCTGTAATTTCAGGCTGGATTCACGCTGTGCTCACATCTCAGGATTGTATGGCTTTTGGAGGAAACTTTTTGCACAACCTCAATATTGGCATGCAGCTCAGGTTAGTCTCAGCTCTTCCTGTGCCTTTTCCTTAGTAAGTAGGATATTCTTTTAATAGATATTTTTCTTCATGCCCTTAACCAGGATCAGATTGGTACAGGCCCTCAGACAATAGTGGCATTTTCAGTTAGACTGTATCAAGCACATACTCTTATTGCACTTCTGCAAAGTTTGTTTCAAAAGCAAAGTGAAGGGTATGCAAGAATCTAAGTGAATAAAAGAAAAAAAAAAAAGTGGAAAAAAAAAAAAGAAATCCTCTACTTGGAGGTTAGTATAAGCAAGTAAAATGGAACTGAACAAGCCCAGATATGCAACATCGAGTTGAAATGAGCGTCCTCAAGTCAGCATTGCTCTAAGGGCAGCTGTATTTAGTTTTTGTCCAAGATGTGGAGCTGTCTTCTAAACATATTGTTTTTATTTATTACAGTGGAATCCTGATAAAATTCCATCTGTTAAAAAGATCACACAATGCGTTTGTATCCTAGTTTTATGAAGTCCAACTTTATTCTTAGAAGTGCCGCAGTCAAACTTGATAAGGTCAGAGCCTGGATGAGACCAGAGTTCAATCTTGTCTATGGTCTTGTTGGGATTTAACTATGTGGTACTTGACTTCTTTTATTCATCATGGCCATGGTTATTTTATTTTATTTTGGACATTGTGTCAATTTGAATTATATAGTTGAATAATGAATTTGATAGTTAAAACATTCATCTTTTGTAATGTTTCAATTTATTCAGGTGTTACGAAATGGAAAAGAGGTTGAAAACCCCAGATCTTTTCAAATTTCCTTTCTTTGAAGCCATCTGTTGGTTTGTGGCCAAAAACCTACTGGAAACATTGAAAGGTAATCCTTATTTTGTTTTAAGAGATATACATCTTTCTGCCTTTTTTTTTTTTTTCCTCTTCGTTGATAATATTATACTGTTGTTATAACATGTGAACAGAGGAAATTTTTTAAGCTGGAAAACCAGACTTGGATTCCTTTTTTCCTTTTTTTTTTTTTTTTTTAAGTCACATTATTTTTTTAACCAGATTTTAGTGGATGCTGCACTGTGACAGTTCTAGATCCAGCAGTTCTTGGTTTTAGTAAATGATCTTTCTGAAAACTACTTTCGTGATTAAAGGGTTCTAGGGTAACTTGCGCTGTGCAGAAATCTTAGTGCACTTGTGGGGGTGTGTAACTAACTCTTTGTAGTATGCTGCTGGAACCTTTTAACTTACTGTTTTTCATCCAATGCTGATGATGTATCTGGTCAATGAAAATATTCCAGATTATTAAAACAGAGTATTTGAGAATTTACCAGCCAAATAGGATGAATTTGCCATTATCTGAAAAGACCTTGTTAAGGAAGATGGGAAACATATTTGAATGGCATCAGTTTTTCACTCAGCCTTTTTTCATATTATTTAAGATCTTAGGGTACCCTTTGGTAGCCTTGCTCTCTTTCTTTCAAGAAACGACTCTCTAAATGATCCCACTAACTTAACAGCTGTGGGTTTCTTCTTGGTGGCTTCACAGCTGAATGAAGAGGTTTTCTTGCACTTGTACAATTTTCTTTGAACTTTTAAGTCAAACTACCTGTTGTCTTCTGTTCTTCCTTGGGAAGGGAAAGGTATCTGTGAAGGCTTTTGTAGAAAAGATGCGTCAATTCCTATGAGCTGTGTTAAATCATTTATATCAGTGCTTATCAATAGACATCTCAACAGCCTCTTGTTCTTGACAGTTGCCCGTCCTTTCCAAACTTCCTCATCTAGTTCTGTAATTCTGGTATCTGTACCCACATGTAATTGAGCTTGAGAGAGTGCCTATCCAACTTCACCTTCTTTTCCTCAAATATCTTGTACTCTGCTTACTCTGTTTAGTCTTAATACTAAATGTCATATTCCCAATAATTTGTTTCAAAGGAGAGAAATCAACTTTCACAGGAGGCTGCTAAATTCAGTTTCTGCTTTGGAAGAGACCAGAATCTCGCATACCCTTTTCCTAATATGAAAACAGTCATAGTTATTGAAAATTATCTATTCTTCTTTCAGCAAATGAAGGTGTGGAGCAACCCTTGTTTGCTAAACAGATGTTTAAAGTTTCTGGATAAACCTAAAGCAATTCAGAAATCTTACCAGACAGAACAAACTTGCAGAAAATTTTTCCTTTCAAAAAAATAGTATTTTCTTCTTGAGATCTTGCTTTGGTCAGTCTCACACCTGTGTGTTTAAAATTTACAAACTCATCAGAAGACATAGGAGCTGTATTCCTGCAGGATATGTTTCTAAATCAAATAGCTAACTATGAGTTGTGTCCTGTGTTCATTCCTGCCTCTCCCCGCTCCCCTTTTTATCCTGTAACTCCTTGAGTACTTGGGCTTGGAGCCTCTTGTGTCTTGTGCCTTAGGGGAGGGGTATGAAGCTTATTGTAATGTTATTTTTAATTTGTGGCTTAGCAGATACTTTGTTGCAGAACAATGCTATGACCTATAAACCCATCATAAAAAAGTCAACATTGATGTTTCCATGGCTAGAGTGAAGTTTATATTGGGCTTTGGCATCAAGACTCATGTGAATAAGGTGTTTACCAGTCAGAATCCTTTGTTTTATAAATAAGATATGATACCAGTTCACCTGTGAAAGGTAATGGTGATGACCAACTTGTAAAACGTTGAGTGCATGGTTGTTAGCAGTACTTCATCTGAAATTCAGGTCAGTAAGCAAAATCAGCACAATGTGTCTTTCTGTGTTTTTTTATAAAATGATAACAGGATCATAAATATTTTGATTTTTTTTCGTTACCAAAAAATGTTTTATGATATTAAAAGTGTTGTGGCATTCACCTAAATTACTTTTCTTCATAGTTCTTGGGGCTTCAGAATAGGTAGCTTGTTAATCTATCCAGAACTCACAAATTTTGATTACGGTTATGTCATGCAGCCTTTTCTATTGCAGCTAAAAAGTCCAACCTGTGGTGCTGCATTGTATTCTCAAAATGTTATCAACTGAGTCAGCCAGTGGGCAGGAAGACTTCCGCTGTGACTCAAAGGCCTGCCACTCCTTCTTGTACCCTTTAACAAGTAGGAGGCATCTTTGAGGGAAGAATGGCTGTTTAGTAACAGAACTTTCCTTTTTCTGCCAGGAGACTAATACGTTATCCATAAGAATAGTGTTCTGTTAGTGTATTCTTTTAAGGGAATAAAATGAGCCAAGTAGTTATAGTGTTGGTGTGTTTGCTATTGACAAGTAGAAATATTTGTCAGGAACATGGGGAGAGGTTGCAATCTACTTTCTTACTCATTATGGAGGATTTGTCTTTTCCCTTCTTTTTTTTACCCATGAAGGAAAAGAGTAAATGGAAAAAGAATTGCAGTCACTTGGGAGCATGAGCTTTTCTTAGAGCAGAGCAGCTTCTATAGCAGAGTGATTTCCGCCCCCTGTCCCCTTTGATTTTGAGAGGAAAGATGATGTAAACTGTGTGAGGGAGAACTGTGATAATTTGGAAAGGTGACAAAAAATGTTTGGGGAGTGGAAGTGTTCTAGTGTGAACCGTTTTCTGTATGTATGGGAATAAGCAGTAGGAATTCTAATTTAGAGATACATCCCACCTCCTTCTGGTCCCCTTGGACTAAAATATTTCTGAATGAAATAAAAGTGATTTCTTTCTTCAAATATGTTTTCTCTTGTTCTGTATTTTAGATCTGTTTTGTTCTAATTGACCTTGAGTAGGTTGTAAACTAGCCCTAATTCACGCAAGAATAGGTAAAAAAATGAGGATTTTACGTAGAATCACTTTAGGGTTGGGTTGGTTTTTTTGTTGCAGTATGCACACAAATACAGAATGTCATGTTTCATTTGCTTGCACAATTTTGCCTTTTTTGTGCTGTTGTGTAATGGTAACTTTATTGGCTAAAGGGTAGGTCTTGTTCTATTGTTTTCACTGTTAGTGTGTTTCTAAATTGGTATCTGTATCCTTTGCAGAACTGAGGGAAGATGGTTTCCAGCCTCCAAGCTATTTAGTGCAAGGAGTGAAGGCTTTACTTGCCGCTTTAAAATTATGGATGAAAAAAGAAGTAAGTATAAGTGATTTTTTTTTTTTTTTTTTTTGCTATTTTGGTGAGCTCTATTTTGATTTAGAAGTAAGTGAAGTTCAAGATTTTTTTTAATCTTAATGAGTACTGAAAGAATTTATGGAGAGTATGTATTGCTGATCTGGGGAAGAATCATCATGACAATTTTATATTCCATGATGCTAATAAAGTCATTTTAGACCAATTAATAAGCTCTTATATTGTAGTTGATAGAAGTAGAATCTTGCTTCATGTCAGGATGGGATAAGAATGCTAGGGAGGATTAGCTGATAAGGTGGGGCTTTTTTCTAACACATCTGTTATATAGTTGATTCATTCTATTCTGGGGCAATAGAGGGATGGAATGGCCTGATACTTAGCGTTTTCTGTTAATGTCAATGCTTTGGAGAGCACATATGCTTTGGAGTATTGCTTAAGAGTCGGTTTAGATTCAGATGAGGATATTAACTTAGTTTGAATACTATCCCTGATGAACGTTGGTTAAAATCATTAATGTGTTGTTTATGCTGGCTTAGCTGGTGTCTCCAGGAAAACTTACTCATTTTGGCACAGCACTGGATCTGGCCAAACCCCATGTGATTTCTCATGTGCCTGAGTTAATAAGCCCTCTTGGAACCTGCGCTTCTGGGAAGTGCTGTTCACTGACAGGCAGTTTGGTTCTGACTGAGCACCTCAGTGCCTGGTATGGTCATGGAGCAGATCCTGTGGGAAACTATGCTAAGGCACATGGAAAATAAAGAGGTGATTGGTGACAGCCAACATGGCTTCACTAAGGGCAAATGGTGCCTGTCAAATTTGGTGACCTTCTGTGATGGGATTACAACGTTGGTGGATAAGAGAAGAGCAACCACATCATCTGCCTGAACTTGTGCAAAGCATTTGACACTGTCCAACATGACATCCTTGTTTCTAAATTGGAGACACATTGATTTGATGGAAGGACCACTCGTTGGATAAGGAACTGGCTGGATGGTTGCACTCAGAGTTGTGGTCAATGGATCAATGTCCAAGTGGAGACCAGTGACACGTAGCATTCTGCAGGTGTTGGTATTGGGACTGGTGTTGTTTTACACCTTTGTTGGCGACATGGACAGTGGGATTGAGTGCATCCTCAGCAAGTTTGCTGACGACACCAAGCTGTGTGGTATGGTTGACGTGCTGGACAGAAGGGATGACATCCAGAGGGACCTTGACAGGCTCTAGAGGTGGACCTATGTGAATGTCATGAGGTCAACAAGTGCAAGTACAAGGTTCTGCACATGGGTTGGGGCAATCCCAAGCACAAATGGGGATTGTGGGGGCTGGGCCGGGAATGGATTGAGAGCAGCCCTGAGAAGAAGGACTTGGGGGTGCTGGTTGATGAGAAGTGAACATGACCCAGCAAGGTATGCTTGCAGCCCAGAAAGCCAACCACATCCTGGGCTGCATCAAAGGAAGCATGACCAGCAGGTGAGGGGAGGTGATTCTCCCCCTCTACTCCACTCTCGTGAGATCCCACCTGGAGTCCTGCATCCAGCTCTGGAGTCCCCAGCACAGGAAAGACATGGACCTGTTGGAGTGAGTCCAGAGGAGGGCCATGAAGATGGTCGGGGGGTTCGAGCACCTCCCATATGAGGACAGGCTGAGAGAGGTGGGGTTGTTCATCCTGGAGAAGAGAAGGCTCCTGGGAGACCTTCTAGCTGACTTCCAGTACTTAAAGGGGGCCTACAGGAGGGATGGAGAAGCACTCTTTATCAGGGAGTGGAGTGATAGGACAAGGAGTAACAGTTTCAAGCTGAAAGAGGGCAGATTTAGATTAGATATTAGGAAGAAATTTTTTCCTGTGAAGCTGGTGAGGCACTGGAACAGGTTGCCCAGGGAAGTTGTGGATGCCCCATCCCTGGAGGTGTTCAAGGCCAGGCTGGATGAGGCTTTGAGCAACCTGGTCTAGTGGAAGGTGTCCCTGCCCATGGCAGGGGGGTTGAAACGCTATGATCTTTAAGATGTCTTCCAACCCAAACCCTTCTATGATTCTATGATTTGTGTACTGTCTAATAGCTCATAAAGTACTTGAAGTAATAGTTCATCTAGAATGTGATGTTTCCTACTTTTCTGTGGAAAAAAATTAATTTCATGTGCTGCATTCTGAATGAAGACCCGTGAATATTCCGAAACCACTGGCTGAACAGACACTTCAATTGTGAGGAAACTGCACAGCATCGGTGGTCTAGTGTCAATGTTGTCTGCTGTTCACTAGCTATTGTGTTTTGTACCTTGCATTCACCTTTTCTAGCTGCTGTTTCATAACTTTTTCCTGCAGCAGGCCATGTGTGTGATAGGATTGTAGTTTTATGCAGCTAAAGACAGGAGGAGCTTTATACATTGCTGTATGATCAGCTCATGCTAGGGATTTCAGACAGATTCTGAAAAAGAAGTGATGAATACTCCACAGATGAGAAGCCTACTCATGAGGTATCACATTCATATCATGGAGTATGTATTTTCAAGACATATGTGAATTAGTGAATTGCTTTGAACTGTTTGCTGGAGAATTTCAGACTCATCTTCAGCAGGGCAGCAGTGTCTTCATTTCTGCAATATTTAAAAACTGCCAAAAATTGCAAGATGCTAAGAATAGAGATTGAGCACTACTAAAATTATTTCAGTTTTCATCTCTTGTGCAAGTCTTTTGTCAGGATGTGTATCTTCTGATTAGTTTGGTGCAAATCATCAGTCTGCAGGTTAGTTGATATACACAATAACGATTATGACCTATCCAGTCATCTGAGCTCTTGGATTTGGGCTCTGACTTTCTCCAGATTGAATAAGCAACAGGTCCCAGATTCAATTTTTCAGGTATTTGATTTATGTACCAGTAAGATTATTCTGGACAACTGTTCGGTGTTTTTTAAAAGGATATTAGTAGCTGTTGTAAAAGAAAAAAAAAATCATGTTTTTTTGTAAGGAGGGAGGAATGTGGGGTTTATTATTTTTATTTTATATTAATTTTTTTGTGTGTGGTTTTAAGTAGTTATATACTTCATTGTGCTGCTAGTTTCCAAAGATGGGTGGATTCATTTGCCCTCCAGGACTTTTTTTTATCTGTATTTCTTGATTTAGAACAGGTTTCTTTTTCCTCTGTCTATTTCCAACGTTTACAAAACAATTTCTTGAAGCTCTTGAATGAATCATGGCTTTCTTTTATTATTTTCTTTACCTGCCATTTACATCTCGCATACTTAAGCCATTTTTTTTACTGCTGTTCTCCCTAGTACAAGAGCATTACTCAGTCCCAAAGGCTGCTTGTTGCTTTTCCAAGAGGAAGTATGCAGAGACAACATAAAAACAAGTTAATTAATAACAACAAAAACTTTCCAGACATGGTGTCTGTAGGTGTTAGTATTTCTTGCCCATCTTTTCCTTCTTTCAGACTGCTAGGTTATATAGCCATTTGAATTTGTTTGCATACTTAAGTTGCTTGAATGGGTATTTTTTTTCTTCTAAATTTTTTAATAATTACTCTGCCACAGCTTAATTGAGAGAGCTTTGGTGTAAGTAGATAACCTTTTATAGTGGCAACCAAGTGAAGCTTGCCGGTGGAACTTGCTTTGCTCAAATCGTTACTATAAATCGTACTGGCAAAATAATGTTCATAGAAACTGATATAAACTTTTGTTTGCATTAGGAATGTTTTTCAGTATTTTTAAACCAGGGAAACTTTGAAGTCAGTATTTTGGAGGATTGCATCGGTCATTTCCTCTTGAAGTCTTCTCAGACAGGAAGGCTTTTGGGAGAGTGAAGTCCTTAAGTAGAAAGGTTTGAATGGTCCTAAAATAACCAGTAACTTCCTGGAAAAATTATACAGTTCAGTGACAGAGGTGCTGTGTTGCCAAGTGTGAATGTGTAGAGGTGATACATTCAAAGAATGAATGATGATAAATAATAGCAGCTGATTTAATCTTTCCTGTAGAATTAATGTCACTAAAATGAGTGATTATACCATGGTTATATATATCCATGTTGTTTTTTTGTGAGGGGGATAGAGTGTTTGTTTTAATGACTGAGAGGAAGCCAGGTTCAATGAAATGCACATGCAGTATTAAATTGCTTCTAGCAATAATTTTGCTGCTAAATCTAATTTTTGAAATGTTGGTAGCTGAAAGTGTTCATGCGATATTTTTCCATTTAAATAGTCAATAAAGGGGATACCAGAATTCGTGTTAGTCATTCTGGTCTATGTGAGTGCTGTTTTGTCTGTTTAATTCAAACTAAAAGTGTTTTGAGGCAGATTTAAACTGTCCATACGGAATATTAAACTTATTTTTTACTAGATCTAACTGTAGAGTATTTGGACTTATTCAGATTGGTTATACGTATATAGGAAATTTGTCTCTGATACTGTTTCAGAGGATTGAAGGGAAGATAAACTGTTATGGCTTCCTAAATTTTTTTATATGGAATGATTTTTTAATTTGCTTTCTTGAACCTACTAGATTCTAAATAAGCTAAGAAAGTAATTTTTAAAAGTGAAATGTGAGGCAGATGTCTAAAAATCTGCATTTCATTACTGATTATTATTGTTGATTTTATCTTTAGATTAAATTTTTGCCATTAGTCTTTAGCTGTTTTGAAGGTTGTGACTCTAATTAGAGTTTCTGAAGTGTGACTCTATACTGACCATGCTAAAGGGAAAAAAAGAAGCTCATTACTGTACTGAGGGGAAAAAAGAATTAAGTGGTTGTCAGTATGGCTTTGTATTACCACTTCTTTGGATATATAGAGACATTGGAGAATACCTTATAAAACTTGGACTGGAAGCTACAGTGTGTGTATATCTGTCCTGACAGTTTGCAGTTGTTATTACAGAAGTTTATCTGTTTCTTTCCTTCTATTTTTTTTCCGTGTAGATTTGTTTATTTCTTATTATGTCTGCTTTTATCTGAAAAAATGAATTAAGTTATCTTTTCTTCCCCCCTTGTATACAGCTTGTAACAGAACATGCCTTTGAAATACCAGACAACATTAGGCCTGGGCATCTCATAAAAGAGCTCTCAAAAGTAATTCGTTCTGTAGAGGTAAGAACAGAGGCAACCCTATATAAGCCTGTAGGAAAAAAATATTCGAATCAGGGAATTCCCTAGTAGTTATGCTTCTGATTGACTGTATTCACCTTTTAATTTATTTAACAGTCATTTAATAATAGACAGTCAAGAGAAAAAGTGTTGGGAATACTAAGCTGTGGGTACTTGAGATAAAGAAAATGTGTAGCGAGGGTGTTTTATGTATTTTTAAAAAAATATTAGTGATAGTGAAATTATTTGTAGGTCAGTATTTCTAAAATGTTCTCACTTATAACTAGTTACAATAATTACTGTGAATATGTTGTTTAAGAGTTTAATTAGAAATTCTGTGCATATTCCCTTCTTCTACCCTCTTGTTTGGTAGTTCTGGTCCAGTTGTCATCTCTTTTGATTTTTTTTTTCTTGTTTTCTTGTTATTTGTTATAGAGACAGTGTTTTTTCTTTCTCCCCCCTCCTTCCTATACCAGTATTTTGCTCCTTTATTTCTTAATGAATGTTTGGTTCTTGAAAATTTCTCACATTTGAATGTGGAGAGAACAGTTCTGAGAACTGAAGAGAAATGTGATCTCTTGGGTACAGTACGTGTCTACCCTATGCTGCCTTCATGAATAAAAACTTTGATGTTTTGGTGTTAAGCACTACTATTATGGGAGAGTACAAAAGTCCCAAATGGGAAAGAGGTGTAGTAGAACTAAGCTTTGTACATGAAATCCATAGGAAATATGTAGTACTTCTCTAAATGGTCTGCCAGTTTTATTTATATAATTTACATGATGAATAAGAAACAGCACTTAAATATGTGGATTTATTCCTTTGAGACTATTCTGAAATACATGTTTTTAATTCAAGGAGGAAAACAGCAAACTCATTAAAACTCAGGGAATTCTTGGTGCGTGTCCAACTTCGCGGTCTTCGCATGAAACAACTTACCCTCACCACTCCAGACGAAGGGTGAGGAAACTGCGAGACCATGCTACCAAAACTCCTTCTAATCTGGACATCCTGGAACTCCACACCAGGGAGGTACTGAAAAGGCTGGAGATGTCACCGTGGGAGGAGGCAAGTGTTAACTTATGTGTAAGAAGAACAAAACCAGAGTAGATTTCTAATCTCTGTTGAAAGGGAAAAGTTTTTAACATACATAGGCTGCTACTCTTTGTCATATGGGACATGAATAGATTTGGTTTTGGTTTCTTTCTTCTGAGTTTTCTTGATGGGATTTTCTCTCTTCCTCAATAACTTTTTTTGTGGATGTCATGGGTTAAGCAAGTTGTAGCCATGGGTGCCATGGTTAGAGTTGGTGCAGCAGGTGCAGGGGCTGGAGTTGTAGCCATGGCACCCACAGCTACAGTGGATGTTCCTTCAACCTTTAGTTCAAAAGGTGCCCTGAATTGGCTACCTACTTAAAGTATAGTTTTAAAATTAGGACTGCTGTAGCTATCAAGTGCTACTTTGAATCTGTTCTGTGAAGAAAAAGGAGCTTGCAAAGCCTTGATTTGGTGAGGCTCTGAGGCAGCCTGCTTCTCTATGTGTTTTTAGATAGCTGTTTCTTATAATTCAGTTACTGTAAGTTGATTAGCCTTGTTTTTCAGTCATGTTCCTATTTCCTCTGTGACTGTGCCTCCCTACCAGTAAACCTAAGGCTGCCTTTGGTCTCCGTTGTGGGGCTGTGGACTTTGTGGGCACACTACAAAGGTATCATGGAGTGAATGAGCGAAATGTAGTCTCTTGAAAAATTATTTTTTTCCAGGTTTGATGACCTTATTTCAAAAAAATGCAACAGAAATGGGAGAAGGAATGAGAATGGAAATAATTAGCTTTATGAAAGGAAATAAGTAGCTTTTTGAGAATAAGAAATGCTGACAAATATAGTTGGGACAGGATGGACTGTCATAGTGAGAAATACTGATTAGAGTCCTTATATTGATCTTCATAAGGCATGAACAAGAGACATTAATTTAGCCCCCAAAGACAGGAAGCTGGACTTAAAATTTACCACAAATAGTTAACCTGCGCAGTTCATGCTACACACAAATGTTTAGGAGTATTAGTTATTGTCATTTAGTGTAGAATTATATTGTTCACTATCGGTATTGACTTGTAAAAAAACCCCATTATATTACGTGTTCCTGGTTTGGCAAATAAGTGTATCGCTGATTGCTTCAGAGTATATGTCAAATGTAAATTGCTTTGAGCTAAGAGAGGTCTGCTTATGGCAGGTTACTTTCCATTATTGGTGTTTTATGGCCTATAAATAAATCAGTTCTGGCATACTAATTCCAGGGACCAGACACCCAATCCAGCAGTTGCCTTATCAGTTCCAAGCCTAGCTTTTGGCTTGCCTGTCTCTGTTGGTATTTCTTTGTTTTGAATATGCTGATAGTTCTGCAAAGGAACCATATAAAGGAGTACTGTAGTGAACTTGTAGTTGTTTCAGATTCTTCAGGAGAGTCTAGGTGATTCAAGGAAGGGGAAGATGCAGTCTACATTTTTTTTTACATCCCAATATATTTTGTCTCAGCTTTCTTCACTTGGTTATCAAGAAGGTAACCATCCTGGTGCTGAGTTTAAGCTTTTGTGGAGTGCAGAAAAAACAGTTGAATTTATAGAAATAAGTAATATGCAACATTGATTTTACTTCTTTAGGATACTGCAAGCTTGAAACTGAATGGGAGATTTAACAAGCCCTTTCAGCCATCTTCTACAGTACCTGAATGGCGAACAAAAGACAATGATCTTCGCCTTCTGCTGTCAAATGGAAGAATAATTAGGTACAAAGGGTTGATTGTGGATCACCTGTTCCTAGTCATTATGGTCTGGAGCATGCTAATTATTAACAATATTTATTTTCTGTTTGTGGAGCTTTAAGTTCCCTTTCACCCATAAGATTCATGTTAGGAATATAGGAGGAATGTGGTGTCTGTTGTGTCTGCTGTCCCCTAGTGGAGCCACGGTTGTGGAGTGAAGAGGAGGAGATTCTTTGTACTTTCCTTTGTTAGAGCATTTCATTCAGTTGCTCACTTAGGTTTGTACTGAAGGGAGTGCTTCAAAGTAGAAGGGGTTGTTTTGCATCCATCAGTTACAAGTGATTTTGATGTAAAACTTTGCATCTTTATGGAAATTACTTGTCCAGGGAGTAAAATGGGAATACGTACCTTTTGGAATGAAAAGATGAGCATAAGAGAACGTTACTGTTGTATCTCGAGAGTGTGTTGTAAATAACGATTATTTGTAATATTACAACATTATTCAGGTTTAGTAAGAATAACTTTTTTTTTTTTTGTGAGACAGAGATGAGAGACGCCCATTTACAGATCGAAGTCTTTACACAGCAGATAGTGAAGAGGAAGATGACAGGACAAGGTCAAAAAAGACGACTGTTAAGGTAGAAGACCAGCCCTCAGGATGTGAAGGAGAAGTGAATACAGATGAACAGAAACCACTGAACAGTAAGTTTGTCTCTAAGTCCTATCAGTTGAACATTTTGATGATCTTGAAGAGGGTCTAGCTATTGTGAAGTCTGACTGAAAGTTTACCAAAGTATAAAGAGGATAAACTAACAGATCAGAGAAGTAGTATTACAAGTTACAAGAAAACATTTGTCATATATTATCTGTCTGCTGAAGAAGCTAACATGATAGAGTTGAAAATTAAAATTCACCATACTGTGTTAGTGCCATTTTGAATACTGTGTTTTTCAGAGTGGAGGTTTAATTGGTGTTCTAGATGAGTGTTTGTTCCCTTTAGTCGGTTTCATAATGTAAGAATGCTGATTTTTCTTGACCAAAATGTACTTCAGCGTGAAAAGTCCATTCCATCGTTCACTGTAGAGAATAAAAGATCATAACATGCAGCTAATTTTAAACCTGTCTTATATTTCACTTTTCTGTTCCATTTGATGATTACCTACTTGATCATACAGTCCTGTATGTTTTGCTAATGACTAGGTTTATTCCATACAAGTAATCAAACATAATTTAGCATTAATAAAATCTTATGGTTTCGACCTTTGCAGTAATTTGCAAGGCTGGGGAAAAGTTTAGGTTATCTTTTAAAACACTGTAACCCCATTTTCCAATACTTTAAACCATCCTTCACTAGGAGTTAAATCTTCTTTGGTCTTTCTGTAGCCTCAAGCCTTCCTGCCAAGTATTCAGCAGTGCTGATCACACAGTGTATTAGTAAAGTATCCATACTGAATGCCTGTTTTCAGTACTTGTTTTTAATAGCGCTGTGTGCAGTGACAGATTGGTCCTTGACATAGCTGTTCAGTTCTCTGTTTAATTATAAAAGTCACATCCTTTCACAGGAGCTTACAAGGGCTCATAGGGTATGTATTAGGAAACTGAGGTCAATACTTGAAAGATAACAAGACTCCTCTAGAGGAGACTTACAGTTCCCTTAGTTTCCTGCACAGCAATCAGTAACAACGTTTGAGTCCATTGTCAGCCTGGATGAAATATCTAATTATTTTTGTTAACAAAGCAATTCGTAATCCCTGTTGACTGTGCTTCCAAAAGTCACAGACAACAGTATTAAAAAACTTGCACAGGAAAGAGGTCCCTCTTGGATACTCATGAACCCACAAGGCATACGGCTTGTTGAGTAAATGCTTAGGTATATGTGCTGTTTTTCCACTTTGAAAATTAAACTAAGTAAATTAAACTAAGTTTTACACTTGAGTCAAAGATTAAATCAGAGAAATGGTAGATTTTCTTCAAAATGGTTGCTCTTATTTGATACAGAATGAATAAGGCAGTGTGCATCTAAATGTAAGAAATGTGCTTAGAACTAGAAGTAATTGTTGAGATCGTTCTTCAAGAGACTGAGTACTCGGGACTATCGCTAATATTTTTAATTGAACAATGGGAGTCTTCAAACTTGGCTATTAAATATCACTGACATTTGATTATTTTGCCTTAACTGGAGGTCTACAGAGAGGGAGAGAGAGATGATGTTCTTCTGTAGAGAATTCCATAAGAGGAACTACCTGTGTCTATAACAGCTGCCACCTTCCATTGTTCTTACTGGGATTTAGGCCAAGAGGCAACGTCCACAGAGAGATGCCTTCAAACAGATCAAACTCTATATAGCTTTGTGTGTCATGCCAAGATCCTGGTTCTAAATGGTGACCCAGTGTTATCAGAGAGACAAAGATCATGTACTGTGCTTAACAGAGCAAGATACTTTGTATAGATGAGGGGAAGGTGATTTAAGATATCTTTTTGAATTCACAGTAGCTTAGCCTGATCTTACAGATAATGGCTGCTTTCATTCACCTGATTTCTGGAGTATTCCTCCCAGTCTCTGGAAGCATGCAGAGCCATAACTTTATCTGAGGGTAGACCAGTTCATTTTAAAGTAACAATAGTAATTACCAAGGTAATTCACAAAAAAACCCAACCAAACAGAAAGCAAAACCCCATTTGTATATTTATAATGAATTTTTTTTAAAGCTCAGTTAAAAATCACATTAATGGATGAAGAGATGAGGGGTCCTAATAATACGTGATGTGTTGTTATGAAGATCAGTAAACGTATCTGAAACCTGTATGTGAAAATAAAGGGTGAGAAAACTACAGTAATCTTAGGCAGGGGGATGTGGAAAGCAGAGGTGGGGAGCTGAGGAAGGGCAGCGCGGAAAGCAATTGGGAATTTGTTTTGAGAGGAGTATAAAGAAGTGCAGCTTCCCTGGCATGTTGAATAATAAAAGGCAAAAGAAAAACTGGGCAGGTATTCTCTGGCTGCTTCGCACAGAGCTTGCAAAATAAAGAAGTGGTAAAAATGGACAATAGTTTGGCTGCATGTAGGAATATTGGCATAGCGAAACTGCATCACACCTGAGGCTCATACAGTGTATTGTGTTATGTCATATATGCTAGTACCCCGCCCTAAATGAACCGGGGGTGTCTCAATAATGTTGGGTGGCTTTAGCTGTTCAGTTTAGATCATGTTACCAGATAGTAGGCAGTTAACAAATAATTTGTCCCTCTTAGTAGGTACTATCAGTTAATCTGTACGATAAGGCAAGAGGGCTTCTGAAGTATGAGACTCTATATTTAGCATTGCTTTTGTAAATCTTAGTATTATCTGTATATCTCTAACTATGTATCTCCAGTTTCTTTTCTGTCTTGGTGAATCATTTGCTTTCTTATAGGAAGACTCACATTTCTTATTAATAGTTTTGTCATTTTAATAACTAGGATTTTCCAATTCCTTAAGACAGAAAGAAAAGTTCCTGAGGAGCATTTATGAAGTTTGTTTATTTATAAATTGTGGTTAGTTATTTATAAATTAATTTTTGCCTAAGATCTGAAGCTCCACATGTGAGCATATTTAGATAAGCTTAATTAATTGTTCTTGCCCCTTCGTTTAAATTGTCTCTAAGTTTGGAGCAGTTTTTTTCTTGGAAAAGGCAGTAATCCAAAGGAAAATTCAATTGAGCTATATAACGGTATTATTTCCTGTATTATGCGTACTGTTCCTTATGCTAGAATCTTGTTTGCCTTTTTGAAATGAACCGAAGGCTTGAGTTATCATCAGAAATCCCTTGGGTTTTTTTGAGCTACAGTAATTTAGAGTATTCACTTTATTGTCAGATGTTGGGCATTTAGATTCTGAACACTTAAAATTGTGTTTCCTTCTTGTGGTTGTTTGGGTCATATACTATCTTTTAAGAGTACATGCTTCTTAGAGCTACTGAGCTACTTCATATTTTGAGTTCTTTCAGCACTTAAATCAGCCACCTAGTCCACATGGTTTACTGTTTTGATTGATTGCTTTGTCATATGCCAGTGTTTTTGATGTCTATTTTGACACCTCATTCTCTAATTAGTACTTTATCTTACTACAAGCAAAAAAAGCGTGTCTCAGGTTGGTATTTCCTCTCCTCCTCTTCCTTTTCAGGTCTTTCTGTGATGAAAACCAATGGGAGTAGATTGTGTATCATCACAGTAGTTATTTAATCTTCTTTAACAGGTCTGCATTTTAACCCTGATTGGCAGTTCTGTAGTAGCACAAAACAGGCAGAAAACTGTGTAAAACAGTAAATTGTGATGTAAAATTGCAAGCAACACAATGATTTTTTTTTTAACCTTTAAATCACTTGATATCCTCTGACTTCCATGTTTAGTGTTTCTGTATAACTGCTTTTATTTTTAAACAAGGAAATTACAGGTTCAGAGAGTCTAAGACAAAGTAATATTGAAAATTACTTCAAATTAACTTTTTCTGAGAGCCACTTCTCTGACTCTAGCCTATAGACAAAAGCAGAAATTGCCCAAGGTGCCATCTGTGGAGTATGTGCCCTATGGGAGAGAAAAAGTATATGCTCCTGCTGCACCTGATTTCTCTTCTGGCTTCACTCTTCCTGGTGAGCCACTTGAGGAGTCTGTTGGTCAACAGTAGGCAGCTCACTAGAGTTTTAAGTAAACTTGCCTTGTGAACAAGATCAGTGTGTGGATGTGCTTTTGTTTACAGACTGTTAAAAACTGCTTTGAAAATAATTGTTAAATATTGTATGTAATAAGTGTTTGGCCTTACATTTTAATTTTTCTCTCCTCAGTGTTCTTTCAAAGTGTGAAATCAGAACTCAGGAATGGATCCTCAGAGTACTCTGATATTTCTGATTCAGAAGAATCTGAGCCTGATTGCACTACACAGGTATAACTAGAAAAAGTTAATGAAGCAACTAAATATAGCTTTGCTCACTCACTTCAAATTTATCTGGTCAAAGTTTATGTTAAAAGAACAATAACAAAGTACTTAATTCTTGTTCAAGTTAATATCTCAAACTTACGGTGCTGCCTCGTTCTTCATTTATTCATTGAGAAAAATGGCAAGATACGCTCTCTTGAGCAAAATATATTC